CCGGCGCCGCAGCTTCCTGCCCGAGTCCCCAGAATTCTTCCAGATGGTTCTGTCCAAGCTCTTCCCAGCGCGGCGACCCGCGTCCATGCTGGCATTCTTGGTTCCCCCAAGGCGGGGGCCCCGGGGAGAAGGTTTCCCAGCGCGCGCATCGCCCCGGGAGGGCAGCCCCTGGTGTCCTTCGCCCAGCTCCCCACCTAGTCCGGCTGCCGCCCTCTCGCCCGCAGACCCCGACTGGGCCTCGTACAAGCTGGGCGTCTTCATCTGCCTGAACTGCTCCGGCGTCCACCGGAACTTCCCAGACATCAGCAAAGTGAAGTCCCTGAGGCTGGACTTCTGGGACGACAGTGTTGTGGAGGTAGCAAGGGGCGCAGGGGGCGGCGGCGGGGGGCAGGGCGCCCCCATTTTACAGGGAAGGACTCAGGCCCAGGGAGAGGCATCACTCGGGAAAGAAAACAGCCTATCAGACCTGTGGCTGAGACAGAGGCCCCGAGTTCAAATCCTGGCGTCCTCACTTGTTTATTTAGGAGGGGGAGGCCCTGAGCTTGGTTTTTTAACCCTAGTTGTGGACCCTCAGTTTCCACATCTGTGTTATGGGGACACCCCGCCACCCCCCTTCACAGGCTGCTGTAAGGATTAAACGGGGCTCAATGCAGGTACAAAGTACCAGTCAGTTAGCAGCTACTGTTCTCATTAGCTGAAGCCTTGGACTGGAACGGAAGCATCCCAGGTCCAGTATCCTGAGTCTGTTCTCGCCCTCCCAGCCCCCCTAGCCAGGAAGGGGTCTACTTGGCTCCGCTGACCTATGGTGATGGAGGACACCTTCAGCCTGGAGGAAAATGCCAATTTGGCCAGGACACCATCTGACAGCAGGCGGCCCTAAACTGTGCTGGTTGGCGGAGGATTTCAGGACTGTTGGGGAAGCAGGCCCACGGTCTCTGAGCGCCCGCTGTGTGCCAGGCACTGTGCTAGACCGCTGGGCTAGATGCTTTACTTATTCCTTCAACACTTAGTTACTGGATGCCCACCATGTGCTGGAGCAGCTAAGGCGAGCAAGGCAAAATCTGTCCACATGGAGCTTACATGCTAGCGTAGAAGGTCAGGAAACCCGCAACCCAAAGGTTATTTGTTTGTGCCGCATACTGGTACCTCCAGTGCTGCAGGTGAGCTCCCTGAAGCTCAGGGGTTAAGTATTGCCCGAGGGTCCCTCCGTGAATGAGTGGCACAGCTGGGATGTGAACCCAAGATCCAAAGCCCATGGAAATCCTGTGATATAGCTCAGTGGCCCCTGGGCGGTGGCGGGGGAGGGGGGAAGAATAGGGCTCACTCTATGAAAAACCTGATGTTTTTTCCCACACTGCCCTCACCCAGATATATGCCACTGCTGTTGCTGCGTGCTGACTCTTGGCCCATGTGTCTCTGGGTCTCTCAGGTGTCAAAGAGCCCAGTGATAATCCTGATCTAGAACTCTAGGGGGTCAGCATTGACTTGCGTCTTCAGCTACCTGTACTGCCTACAGACTTGCGGGCACTGTTGCTGGGGGTCCTGGCCAGCTGTGGGGGGGGGTGGTGGTGTGGGGGTAGGAGGAAGAACATGAGCTTTGGAGTTAGACCAGCCTGGGTTCAAATCCCAGCTCTCCATGTACTAGCCGTGTTACCTTGGGTAAATCGCCTAACCTCTCTGAGCCTCTAAAATGGAGATGGTAATATTAAAATGGTTAAGGGGATCAAGTGAACTGTGGTCACTCTGCCTCTATGAGGCGTAGTTGTTCCAGCACCACATTGCTCTGGCCTTTCTAGCAAACGCTGGTATTTTATTTTTTGGTTAATTCTGGTGGGCAGTGTGAAATTCCCCTACGACTGTCTCCTGACTCAGCGGAGGAGCCAGTGAGAACAGCGGCCTTCTGGGTAGACCATGGTTTCATTTCATATTTTGCAAGTTCTAATATTACCATCAAATTGCTGTTGTTTTGCAGTTTATGACCCACAATGGGAACCTCCGTGTGAAGGCCAAGTATGAAGCCAGAGTCCCCGCTTTCTATTACATCCCTCAGGCCAGCGACTGCCTGTGAGTGAGTGCATGATTCCTGGCCCCAACCCCACCTCTGGGTCTTTGCCTGCGGTGGTCTCGTCCATGGGCCTGGTCAGCAGGTGGACCCAGGAAAGGGTTTGGTACTGTTACGGAGAACACATGAGACCTAGTTTAAGCCTTCTCTACCTTTATTGCTTGGGTGGTCAATTCCTCCCTCTGGGACTCAGCTTCCATCGCTCTGAAAGGGGGCATTTTCTCTATTATCTGCCCCATTTGCCTCTGATGTTCTCACAGATGGTGGCTAACTTGATAGAGAAGAGAAACGCTGGTATTTTATTTTATTGTTCTGTTAATCCTCACCTGAGGATATTTTTTCCCATTGATTTTTAGAGAGAGTGGCAGGGAGGGGGAGAGACAGAAACATTGATGAGAGAGAGACACATTGATTGGTTGCCTCCCACTTGTGCCCTGACCAGGGCAGGGGATGAAGCCTGCAACCGAGGTACGTGCCCTTGAACAGAATCCAACCCAGGACCCCTGAGCAAAACCAGATAGGTCAAAACACTGGTATTTTAATAGAACAAATGTATTTCAGCTACTTCCTATGGAGTGCTATGCTTAGGACTGTCCCAAAGCAGCCGCCTGGGCCCCAGATCCCTAAATATTAACCATAAAAACAATAGTAGCTGCTAGTATTTATTGAGCTTTATCTATATACCAGGCCCTGTGCTAAATAATTACGTGCATTAATTTGTTGAATTCTCTCAACAACCCCATGCGATAAACACTGCCATCGCCCCCATGATGTAGATGGAAAACTTGAGGCTTGTAGAGGCAAAGCTGGGACGAGCCCATCTGATACCAGGGTCTGGGTGACTGAACCATGACATTGAGAAAATCCGATACAATGAGGGTGTGGGGAGGTCCGGGGAGGATCTGTGAAGCAGTAGGAGGGTTCAGTTGACCTGGAGGCGAGGGTCCGTGTGACACTGGTACCTAGTGACCCCAGACCTCTGCAGATTGACTGCCTGAGCCCGAACCTGTCTCCCAGGGACCCAGCCCCGCCGTCAGGGCTGCTAGACAGCACCTGCGTCAATGGGTGTATCTGTCCCTCCGAGCAGACGCAACCTCATGGGGACATGGCTTGCAGGAAGCCGGCTGCATTTCAGCTACATTGTCTTCTGGCCTCACAGCAGGATGCTTTAGGACAGGGCACAAATGACACAACCATCCCTGGGGGGCCTGCGATTTCCCAGCGGCCGGGGAGGCACAGCTGTGGACTCGGGAGACCTCCGTTCTGTTGCCAAGTCTACCATGACCTGGCTGTGAGACGGTGGACAAGTTACCTAACCTCTCTGACTCGTGGCATCCTCGCCTCTGAAATCTGGGTAATGATGCCTACATCAGAGCACCGTGGTGGATTAAATGAGATATTTATGTAAAAACCTCATATGCCACCTGAAATGCTAGTTTGTTTTTAAAATATAGTTTTATTGATTTAAAAGAGGAAGGAAGAGAGAGAGAGAGATAGAACATTGATGATGAGAGAGAATCATTGATTGGCTGCCTCCTGCACACCCCACACTGGGGATTGAACCGGCAACCCTGGCATATGCCCTGACTGGGAATCGAACCGTGACCTCTTGGTTCAGAGGTCGACACTCAACCACTGAGCCACCCCATGCTGGCTGGGCTGAAATGTTAGTTTTGATCCATTTCTCAGTGTCAGCTTCAGAGTGCTGCCTAGTGCCTGGCCCCGCAGAGGGGATGTGTCAGGCCTGAGGGCCTGATCCTCTTGCCTCATCTCTGCCACTCAGCCCTTGGCTCCAAGGGGAAGGGAACCAGCACTTGGCGAGCACCTACTATGTGCTAGGCCTTCTGCCTGCACTACACAGACACTACTTGTCATGACTCCAGCAACAGGCCTGTGCTTTAACTCCTTTTAGCTGAATACTAATGGCCTCTTCCCTCCTATCCTAAAAGTCCTCTAAACTCCCCACTCCCAGCATCAGGATTGGGGCCTCAGTCTCTATTGCCTCTCCTAGCTCTGATCCTGTGGCTCAGGGTTCCTCAATGTCCTGGTGAGGACTGTGCATTAGGTAGGACTCTTTGTCATTGTTGTCGTCGTCATATGATCTTTAATTGAAATATTTCCCTTTGTAGTTCTTAACTGACTAGGCATTCCACGGCACCTCTGTTGATGTCATCTATGATGTCATGAGGGTGGTGGCCACTAGCATTGCAGCCCACAGACAGGGCAGTCCCCAGGATCTCTTTAATGGTTCAAGAGAGCTCTCTAGCTAAAGGTCGGTGCCGCATCTTCAGGCAATGTTGACGGTCTCATCAAAAGTGGTATTTCCACTGTGCTTCCTGTCTTCTTGCTTCCTTCTGTCTCATGGTAGTTCTTTGAGGCCTTTGATGGTCAGGGCAGAGGCCCTAAGTCTGGGCCTGTCTGTTCTGAACGGACAGTTTCACTGTGACCCGCAGACCCTTCCGATCACTGCCCGAGGCTGCTTTGGCAATGCCACCATCAGTCTTTTCTGGAGATGGACGCAGGGGGCTGATCTTGGGGACCAGGGCGGAGGTGGCACTGACTTCCCCACCGCTGCACCTCAGATAGATGACTTTGACCTCCTTGGGGTCAAACTTGGGCAGCCTGACGGAGGCGGCTGGTGTCTGTCAGGTGACCCCAGATCCGGAACAACTGAAGAAAGTTGCACCCAAGCCTCCTCCAAGGCAAACGCCGAAAAGCTAGATAGGACTCTCGATGGTAAGTGACAGAAACCCAGTTTAAACCAGCTTAGAAAGAAGATGCTGTGGGTTCTGGGGACCAGGCTGCAGGGAGGACAGAGGTGGAGCCGCCCCAGGAAGGACAAGCCAGGACAAACACCAGCAGCCTCTCTGGCTCTCAGTCCTGCTTCTCTCTCTCAGCCGGGCTTCTTCATGCAGCTGGAGCCAGACCACGGCTAGGTCCCAGCTCCAGCTCCCAGTTTGATCCCAGAGAGCGCTTCTAACTCACCTCCCTTCTCAGTCTTGCTCCTTTTGGTCCACATGGCCCTGGGCAGAGCTCTGATTGACCAGTTGGGCCAGATGCCCAGCTCTAGCCCATTCCCTGTGGTTGTGGGGAAAAGGTCACATAAACCTCAGGCCCGGATGGTGTGGCTCAGTGGTTAAATGTCAGCCTATGAACCAGGAGGTCATGGTTTGATTCCCAGTCAGAGCACATGCCTGGGTTGTGGGCTCAATCTCCAGTGTGGGGCGTGCAGGAGGCAGCCGATCAATGATTCTCTCTCATCATTGCTGTTTCTATCTGAGAACCAACTGACTGAATTAAGTCTCCTTTGGGCTGCATGGTTTTTCTGCACGGGTCATGGAAGACAGTACCTGATGGGGCTAACATCAAACCACCCGCTCTGTGCTGAGCATGGCTCTACGCCCTTTATATACATTTAAAGCTACCCTAAGGGGTCGGTAGGTATAATATTATTGGCATATTCCCCAAGTTCAGAGGCAGTCCTCGGGCTACGTCGGACTCGACGTACGTCGTTTCGTGGTTATGTTGCCATCTCCCATTTATTTATTAAAAAAAAGTTCCATCATTTCGATGTATGTACATATGTGCTTTATGTTTCTTATTATTTATTTACCACAAGTAAAGGTCAGGAATTGTTATCTTCCTTTTAATTTTTTTTTTTTTTACTGTTTCACTTCATTACTGCTGTGTATGTGTTCCATGTGAGTGACGTAGGTGGGTTCCCACTTACGGCGAAAATTGCGTTACGTCGCTGTAGGAACGGATCTCCGACGTAACCCGAGGACCTACTGTATCTTGTTCTTGATCACACAGTGGATAAATGGTCGAGTGGGACCAGATCCCAGATGGTTAGACTCCAAGACCACTGCTCCGTCCGGTGTGCCATGCCCCGAGTTCATGGGCAGGCCCAGGAAGAGGCTGCTGGCCTCCTGGCCTAAGCTGGGAGCATGCAGTGGAGGCGGCAGTGGAGGCGGCAGTGTAGACGATCCAGAGGAGCTGGTGTCAGTCTTGCTGACCTGGAGGGCCGGGCTGGCGTCGGAATAGCCCAGAGGTTTTCGTACAGCCCACTGGGGGATATTGTTCCCCCAGGAGACACTGGCAATGTCTGAAGACATTTTGGGGTATCACCGGGGAGGAAGAGCTACTGGCATCCAGAAGGTGGAAGCCAGAGATGCTAGCAAACATCCTACAGTGCACAGGACAGTCCCCACAACAGAGCTGTCCAGCCCCAAAGGGTAACAGTAGCGCGGCTGAGAAGCCCTGGTAGCCTGGGCAGGCAGTGAGGCCGCTGTGTGACGCTCCCACCTGCAGCCGTGGGGCCTCAGACAGTTACTGTGGGCAGAGCACGTATCAGACACAGCTGACCGGAGGTTCTCTCTTTCTAGGGTCTTAAAGGAACAGTGGATTCGAGCTAAGTATGAGAGACAGGAGTTTATGGCCGATGGGAAAACCATCTCACTCTCAGGTACGGTTAATTTTCATCACCGTTCGAGGTCTCTGTTGCAGCAGGTTCTAGAAAACAAAGTGCCTGATTCTTAGAAGCGAGGTCCAGCCAAGAGCTATCTGCTGCCCTCACTCTGGCCACAGAGGCCCAGGCATGGGTTCCTCTGCCTCTGAAATGGCAACACAGCAGTTGGTGGGGTTTGCGGTCTGAATGGACAGGAAGCATGTTTGCACGTCTTTACGGGGCCGCAGGGGTGTAGAGTGCTTCCTGTGAGTTGCAGGGAGGCTCACCCACCAGGAACACACCCCTGCGCCTGGCTCCTGTAGCCCCCGGTGTGGCACAGGCTCGGTAAGGGGCATGGGCCGGATGCCGCCCTCCTTCATGCCCTTGTGCAAGGCACAACCTCCTCGGTGGCCCTGGACCTGTGGCTGACACCGACCCGGAGGGCGAAGTGCACAAAACCACTCTGAGGATCAGAGGCAGCCAGTGCTCAACGCTCCCAGCTCCCAGGAGCACCTGGCATTCTCCAGCCGCAGGCGCCTAGAGGGCGTGCGTTACTCCTGCGCTCTGGAGAGCGCCCCCGGGCTGATGTCCATGGGAAATCCTCGGTACAGTGTCTCGGTACTTAGCCTACGTAAGGGTGTACTGTGCCTTCTTAAGAAACAGCCAAGGAAGAACATTGGAAATTTGGCCCCAGATAGGACCCCCGTGCCCTGCATCTGAAATAGCCACGTTCGTTAGGTGTGAGACAGTTTAGCAGCCGGCGGGAGGTTCATTGTACCCCGAGACCCTACGAGGACTGTGAGCTGCTTGTTTGTCTTAAGGCGGGGGGTGCTCACTCTTTGTCGTCCTCGGTGGCTCAGGTAACCGGGAAGGGTTCCTGTGGAAGCGGGGCAGGGACAACGCGCAGTTCCTGAGGAGGAGATTTGTCCTGTTGGCAAGAGAAGGCCTTCTGAAGTACTACACTAAGGAAGAGGTAAGAGGCCAGACCCGGGAGGGGTCCCCTCCCGCGCACTGGGCTCTCACCCCACCGAGATCTGCTCTTTAATCAATAGTGACTTGTTTTGTGGGTGATCTCAGGCCCCACATCCCATTTTCCCTTGGTGAGACAATCAGTCCAGCCCACTAAAACACACCTTCTGTTCACTTAGAACAGTGGTTCTCAACCTTCTGGCCCTTTAAATACAGTTCCTCATGTTGTGACCCAACCACAAAATTATTTTCGTTGCTATTTCATAAGTAATGTTGCTACTGTTATGAATCGTAATGTAAATATCTGATATACAGGATGGACCCTGTGAAAGGGTCGTTCGGCCGCCAAAGGGGTCACGACCCACAGGTTGAGAACCCCTGACTTAGAATAAGCTTCGACTGGTCCATGATTAAGCCTTTGATGATCACTTGATTTGACTTCATTTCTTCATACACACAAGGGATATTTATTGAGCACCTACTATATGCTAGACATTATTGTAGGCACTGGGGACACAGCAGTGAACTAAACAAAGCTCCTCTTCTCTCGGAGCTTTCATGCTAGTGGAAGGAGACAGGTGGTGATCAAACAACATCAACATATGATATATCAGGTGGCAGGAAGTGCTAAGAAGGGAAATAGATGAGATTGTGAGGGAGTGACCAACAGAAGGCTCTGAGCGTTGGCCTTCACCTTGCTCGGTTTCCTACACGTAGGAATTACTGTGTATTTCCCCTGTTGCTTTCCTAGATGGACCTGTGCGATGCATGGCCGCAGTCTAGGGCCAAGTGAAAAATGGTGAGGGATGAAGAGTATTTATCCTCCAAGTGCAAGTAGGGATTTCTTTTTCTCTTTTTAAATATCTTTTTATTGATTTCAGAGAGGAAAGGAGAGGGAGAGAGAGAGAGAAACATCAATAATGAGAGAGAATCATTGATTGGGTGCCTCCTGCACGCCCCCTACTGGGGATTGAGCTTTCAACTGGACATGTGCCCTTGATTGGAATTGAACCTGGGACCCTTCAGTCTGCAGGCCTATGCTCTATCTACTGAGCCAAACCAGCTAGGGCAAGAGTAGGGATTTCTTATTAGTCTTCAGTTTAAAGACCTGAAAAATGGTGCAGGCACAAGAGGCAGGAAGAGAAAGTGGAGCAGAGTTGGGAGGGGCCACTGAACCCCAGCAGCCGCTGGGGGCTGGTCTCCTGGAGAGCCTCATTTTTGGTTGGGAAAAGTGGATCCTTCTCTCAGTCCTAAGCCTGTTTAGTCTAAAACAGTCTAAAAATAACACAAGTTGCCTTTGGTCTTTTTAATTTCTTTCCCCAAAAAAGGAAAAATTTTAACTTATAAAGTTAAAATTTTTATGTAAAAATTTGGGGTAATACAAGAAAGTAAATAAAGTGTAAAGAAAGTGAAACTCAAAAGATATCTCAGCATAACAAAATGTTGATACTCAGAACATATTAAAAAAACAACAACAACAACAACCTACAAATCAAGAAGAAAAAGACAGTCCATTAGAAAAATGGCAAAGCAAATGGACTGGCCTTTTATAGAAAAGGAAACCAAAAGGCCTGATAAGGGTAAGAAGAGACGCTGATGTCTCTGGCAGTCAGGGAAGTGCAGACCAAAACCACAATGAGATGCTGCACACCCACCATAATGGCGAAAATTAAACAGGCTGACACCACCAAGTATTGGCGAGGATGTGGAGAAACTGAAACGCTCATCCATAAATAATACAACCTCTTAGGAAAGCAATTTGGCAATTTTATTTTATTTTTTTAAAATATATTTTTATTGATTTCAGAGAGGAAGGAAGAGGGAGAGAGATGGAAACATCAATGATGAGAGAGAATCATTGACCGGCTGCCTCCTGCATGCCCCCCACTGGAGATCGAGTCCACAACCCGGGCATGTGCCCTAGACCAGAATTGAACCTGGGACCCTCCAGTCCGCAGGTTGACGCTCTATCCACTGAGCCAAACTGGCTAGGGCATTGGCACTTTTACATAAAGTTAAATGTATACCTAACCACACAACCCAGCCATTCCACTTCTAGGTGGAACAAAAACATAAATCCAAAAAAAAATGTTCATAGAAGCTTTATTTATAATAGTCAAAACCTGGAAAGAACCCAAATGTCCATCCAGAGCTGAATGAATAAACAAACTGTAATACATCCATAGAAGGGAATATTACTCAGCAATAAAGGGGGACAAGCTACTAAAAAATGCAATAAGGTAGATTAATCTAAAAATATTATTCTGAGCAAAAGAAGCCTCATACAAGAGTATGTACTACATAATTCCATGTGTAGGAAATTTTACAACAAGCAAAACTACTCTATATCAGTAGAAAGTAGGTAAGTGATCGCCTGGTGTTGAGGTGGGGTGGATGGGGATGGACTGTAAAGGGGCAGAGGAAACTTTTGGGGTGACAGTGATGTTGAATCTCTTGATTGTGGTCGTGGTTACAAGGGAATATATGCTTGTCAAAATCAAACTGTACTCTTAAAATGAGTACCATTTTTTTGTTTATCAATTATTCCTCAATATAGCTGATTAAATGAACACAGTGAGGCCCAATTTCAAGTCCATCATATTGGCAAAAATGTTAAAAATTGGCAATGTCAAGTGTTAGTGAGAATCGCGGGGAAGGGGAACCCTTCTTTGTTTTAGTAGGTTCCTACTATGCATCCTGTTTTGGGACTTGGTATTTCTCATGGATTTCATATTAGTAATATTGATCTAAATTAGTTTTTTAAATTTACTTTAAAATATATTTTTATTGATTTCAGAGAGAAAGGGAGAGGGAGAGAGAGATAGAAACATCTATGATGAGAATCATGGATTGGCTGCCTCCTGCACGCCCCTACTGGGGATTGAGCCAGCAACCCGGGCATGTGCCCTTGAATGGAAATGAACCTGGGACCCTTCAGTCTGCAGGCCGATGCTCTACTATCCACTGAGCCAAACTGGTGAGGGCTAAATTAGTCTTTTAAAAATGTTTGTGGTATTTCATTGTGTGGATGTACCATGATTTAAGTATATAATGGACATGTAAAACACTTCTTTTTCTGCTAGTATACCAGTAAGTAACATGGCAATAAACATCTTTGGCATGCATGTTTGCACAGAAATGCAATTACTTCCTTGGAGTGGATTCTTAGATGCAAAATTGTGAGTCAAAGCAGAACACTCAACATGGTAATAGATATGACCAACTTTCCCTCTAAAGACTGTTAATAGACTTTCTTCAGTTCTATGTCTGCCCTGTTCAATACCCTAGCCACCAGCCCTAGCTGGTTTGGCTCAGTGGATAGATCGTTGGCCTGTGGACTGAAGGGTCCTGGGTTCGATTCCTGGTCAAGGGCCCATACCTTGGTTGCAGGCTCCATTATGGAGCCGTGTACAGGAGGCAACCAAATGATGTATCTCTCTTACATCGATGTTTCTCTCTCTCTCTGTCGCTCCCCCTCCCTTCCACTCTCTCTAAATATTAATGGGGAAATGTTCTTGGGTGAGAATTAACAACAACAACAAAATACCCTAGCCACTGGCCTCGAGTGGCTACTTGAGCATTTGAAATGGGGCTGAGTAAAGAACTGAAGTTTTATTTTATTTTTTTTCTTGTCTTTTTAAAAAAAATTTTTATTGATTTCAGAGAGGAAGGGTAGAGGGTGAGAGATAGAAACATCAATGATGAGAATCATTGATCAGCTGCCTCCTGCACGCCCCCTACTGGGGATCCAGCCCACAACCGGGGCACGTGCCCTTGACCGGAATTGAACCCGGGACCCTTCAGTCCACAGACCAACGCTCTATCCACTGAGCAAACCAGCCAAGGCTATTTTTATTTAAATGCAATAGGCACATGGGTCAATGGCTCCCCCAGCTCCCCGGTGTTTGTTATAATTTTTCTCTCTTACGGATTTTGAAGGAAAGCACTCTTTTCTCTCCCCTGCTCAGCATGAATCAGTGATTGCACTGTTTCAGAACCCTGAGACCAGCCAGTACCCCACATCTGCTTTTATCTGCTTTATTTTATTGGGTGGCTTCCACAGATGACTTGCTTCAGAGAAACTTCCATGGCTAAAATTTTGAAAAGTCCTGCGTTAAGGCCTTTCCAAGCCCCATTCCAACTCGAGAGGCCAGGCCGAGTAAGCAGGAATGGTGGGATGGCTGAACACAGGACAGCAGGAGCATCCGTGTGTCCTAATATCAGAGCAAGAACAGGGAAAACCCATGGAAAGTTACAGGCTGGTTATCTGTCTGCTCGAGGCCTTGGTGAAGGAGATAAGACGACTCCCTGCGGACTGTCTGTCGGCATCTTGAGTATCCATTCCCTCTCTTTCAGGGTAAAAGCCCCAAAGCTGTCATCCACATCAAGGACCTGAATGCCACCTTCCAGACGGAGAAGATAGGGAACCCCCACGGGCTGCAGATCACCTACCGGAGAGAGGGCCACATCAGGAACCTGTTTGTGTATCACGAAAGCGGCAAGGTGAGCTGCCTGGCCTCGCACCCCAGGGCTCTGCAGGCCCAGCGACTAACCCTCTTGAGATCTGCAGCTACTGTTTGCCTAAACCTAGCGTCACTTTCTGGTCAGAGATAGAGGTGTGAGGAAGGCAGAGTGAGATCAGAGAGAGGAACCTGACAGGTAGAGTGGGTGTGTGTGGACGGTTCACGTCCACCAAGGGGAGTCCATCAGCAGAAGGACTGTGCCCGGGGATGGCGAGTCCAGGTGGCACCAGGATCCCGACTACGGGAGGAGGAACGGAGAGAAGATCCGGCAGCAGTGCACTCTGGGGCCTTGCTTCTCGATGTGTAGGCCCACCCTGGACCTACTGAATTAGAAACTGCATTTTATTTTAAAATTTTTTATTATTTTTATTGATTTCAGAGAGGAAGGGAGAGGGAGAGAGAAACATCTATGATGAGAGAGAATCATTGATCAGCTGCCTCCTGCATGCCCCACGTTGGGAATCAAGCCCACAATCCGAGCAATGTGCCCTGACCAGGAATCAAATCACGGCCTCCTGGTTCATAGGTCGACGCTCAACCACTGAGACACGCTGGCCTGGCAGAAATTGCATTTTAATAGGATCGGCAGGTGATCCTTATGCACATTAAAGTTTGAGAAGCACAACTTAAAGGTCCAGGAAATCAGACCCTGGCTCTCATTCAGTCCATGGTGGGCTCTCTGCTGTTGCTCAGACTGGCTGGACACTGGTGGCCCCCCCGTCCCTCCCCCCATCTCCCCCCCCCCCCCCGTACCAATCACTGCTACGAGGACTTTCGCTGCGGTGCCCAAGGTCTCTGACATTTATGGTACCTGACTCCTTCCCACTTGCCCTGTTGTAGAGCATCTGACAACCTAGGTCTGGCCATTCTGCTCTTTCCCTTGATACCCCAGTTTCTCCACGAGATGGGCATAAGCGAGGGGCCGCAAAGTCACGCCAGCAGGAGCCAGGCAGGTGATCTGAAAGTGACGTGGACAGCTGTGAGGCTGTGGCAAACAGGAAACCTGTACAGAGGATTGAAACAAACAAAAGTTCAGGAGCCAAACAAACCGAATGCAGGTTGGATTTGGTCCCAAGGTGTGACTGGAGAGACCTTCCAAAGTGAAAGCCTAGGCCGGGTCTTTCCTGGGACAGGCCCATTCCCTTAGTGCCCGAGACACACAAAGGTTCGTAACTCCCAGGACGAGAGAGAGAGAGCTCAGAACTTGGAACAAACCTGGGAGAGACAAAGGGTAATTATGTTTCATTCTTTCAAAATCATATTCAAATGAATTACTCAATCACCCAGTTACATCAAAGTGGGGCACTGCAGCTACCTGAACAAGTCTTTCTGCCTCCCAATTCCAGATTCCTGGGAGAAAGCATTTCATAAGCCCCGTCCAGCACTGGTCCAGCCCTGGTCCAGCTGCTGTGGCCAAGAAGGGGTGGGGTCATCGCAGCAACTGTGGCTGGGCAGTGGGTGGTGAGAATGGGTGGGGCAGTTCTCATGGAGGCAGGGCTTGGGCTGAGCAAAAATCTATGTCAACCTCTAAACTAACCTTCAGCATGAGGAGAATGTTCTAGGCCAGCGGTTCTCAACCTGTGGGTCGCGACCCCTTTGGGGGTCGAACGACCCTTTCACAGGGGTCGCCTAAGACCATCGGAAAACACATATATAATTACATATTGTTTTTGTGATTAATCACTATGCTTTAATTATGTTCAATTTGTAACAATGCAAATACATCCTGCATATCAGATAGTTACATGACGATTCATAACAGTCGCAAAAGTACAGTTATGAAGTAGCAACGAAAATAATTTTATGGTTGGGGGTCACCACAACATGAGGAACTGTATTGAAGGGTCGCGGCATTAGGAAGGTTGAGAACCACTGTTCTAGGCCATCCGTATGCGTGGGTGAGGGCAGCGAGGTGGATGAGGCATAGAGTTCCAGGAGGAGCGAACAGAATGTGTTGAGATTGCAAATGGCTTTGTATGGAAGGAACTCAGAGGGCAAAGTCAGTCAGACCAAAGAGCGTAGATTTTCTTCTTGAGGGTTGTGGAGAGGACTCGATCTTGGACTCAAGAGACTTGCAAAGCGAACATCACTCTGGCTGCGGGTGGGGAGGACCAATCGGGGAGCAGCAGAGCAGCGGCAGAGCCAGCTGGTGAGCTGTCCACCTGGTGAGAGGTGATGGTGCCCGCACGGCTGAGGAGTGCGTTCTCCTGGAGTGACAGCAGAAGGTCCACGCCGGCTTCGGCCTACGCTGCCCTCCAAGCAATGAGCACCCCCAGTGGAGGAGCACCCCCAGGTGGCCATGCCCCCACCTGAAAACCGGTCTTTGACATCTGAGTGAGAACTTTTTTTTAAAATATATTTTTTATTAATTTCAGAGAGGAAGGAAGAGGGAGAGAGAGATAGAAACATCAAAGATGAGAGAGAATCATTGATTAGCTGCCTCCTGTACGCTCCCCACTGGGGATCAAGCCCATAACCTGGGCATGTGCCCTTGACCGGAATTGAACCTGGGACCCTTTAGTCCACAGGTCAACGCTCTATCCACTGAGCCAAACCGGCTAGGGCAGTGAGGACTCTTGCTCCTCAAAGTGTGTCCTACTGACCAGCATCACATCGCTGATTGCTAGGAATGCAGACTCTCAGGCCCCACCCCAACCCACTGAGACCACAGCTGCCCTGTAACAAGATCCTCAGGGACTCGTACACTGGTGAGAAAATGTCAAGGACTGTCCTCGGCCATTGCATAACTCCCATGCAGTTCACTGGGCCTTTCCCACGGCTCCAGACCTCCCTGCCAGTGGCTTCCACTTGCTCAGGTGAGGCCTGGGCGCCCCCCTTCCGCCCCAGGGCTCTGGTATTGTTCCCCAAGCTGCCTGTGATCAGCCCACAGGCCCCTCAGTGGAACTGGGGGAATGTGTGTGTGTGGAATGCCCGTGCACAGACCTGAAAACCTTGCTAGCTTCCTACCACCACTCTCAGCCCT